TAAAACCAAACCTAACTACGACCACTCGTCGACTAGTCGTCTCGTCCGACCTTACGTTCGTTCTCTTACTTAGTGTAAGTAGAACGTAACCTACTCTCTCTCTCTCTCTCTCTCTCTCTCTCTCACAGCCGTTCTATTTGTCCCTAAAAACCTTTGCTAGATCGCTTCTATCATCACACTTTATGTTCTCTTTATAAGCATGGCAATGAAGACCTGCTTCACCGTGTTGGTTACTGTGATTACAAAAACTTAAGAAACTTGGGCAAAGTTTGCTACTTCGGAGCCTATCATGATAAAACATGATTTAGTATGTCCTGCTACTAATGAAATTATCTCCAAGATACTTAAAAGGATGTATTTGAATTACCCAATAAAGCAAATCATGGAATAAAAATCACGACGCCACAAGTTGTGTTCCAACTACTTTGCCACAAAGGTAACAGTAACAATTTTCCTATAGAACTTGTCGGATCAAATGTTTAATTTGCACTTATAGCAATGCACCCAGCTCTGTCCGATAATGGTTATACTAATTCATAAGAAAAATGAATTAAGAAGAAAACTGTTACTATTTTTCCTAGCTGTGGCAATAGGCAATCTGCTCAAAATTATCCCCAAGGACACAAGATTCATGCAGCCAAAAACTAGGCAACCAGTCACCAAAGTAACAACTAACAGTTACAACAAGCATAATTTGGTTAAGAACTCCTTTGCAAAGAGCTTGTATGATTAAGTATCAACGAGAAATAGCAACTGATAAAGAGAGGAAAAAAAAAAAAGGAGGTCAGATTCCACTATGGAACATGTGATAATCATAATTTACATGCGACACCAAAAAATTGAAAGAAGAAATATGCATTTAAATAATATTCTAAAATGGTGAAATTTACAGCAGTCCCTGTATTTAGACATAATGGATAGAACATGTAAAACCTTGAGTCTGCCCTGTAATACTTAATCTTAGCCAGGTGAAATAGAGAGCTAGCAAAATGTTTAAATAAACAAGCCCCTTTGGAGTGGCCATTTTTTAAATAATATATTAAAATGGAAAAATTTACGGCAGTTCCCTGTATTTAAACATGATGGATATGACATGTAAAACCTTGAGTCTGCCCTGTATACTCAATCTTGGCCGGGTGAAATAGAGAGCTAGCAAAACATATGAATGTACTTGCCCCTTTGGATCGGCCATTTTCATTAAAAAACAATGGCTCATTGAGAAGCTGAAGCTGTTGAAAATTAGTGCTAAAGTTCAATAAGTTTGACATTTACAGCCGGCACTTTGATGGTGGTGACATAAATTATATCCAAAGAACTGTCTTGAGGTCAGAACGGTAGAAAGTCTTCATTGCTTTCAAGAAGCTTTCAGGCTGATTTTTCCAGTTTTCTATGCATCTATCTCTCTCTCTCTCTCTCTCTCTCTCTCTCTCTCTACAAAAACACACATAGACACACAGAGGAAGTGCATGAATCGCCATTAAATGGAAGAGGCACATGTGCACAAACATTTTTCTGATCAATAATGGCACACATATATGCACATGTTTACAGAAATGTTATAGAAAACTAAATTATTGTAAGAGTTTATTTTGAAAATCCAACACAACCAGATGTACCAATATATATCAATATGTGCAAAGACAGAATCCGAGATTGAGCAAAATATTAAATTTTCAGTTGATTTCCAAACAAGTAGAAGGATGCATATGGTTCATTTCATGTTTGATACTTTGAATTCATAGGTCGGTAAATAATAAGGTTTCATTTCTTTCTATGATCTGTAATAAGGCTTCATTTAGGAGAAAATGAGGCCTCATTTAGGAGAAATTTCAAGATTCCTTCATTGGCAGGAAAATTTCAAGTGTCATCTCTGTTAAGCTAGTTAGAAGTTCATCCAACTTCTATGAGAAATTAGTCAAAACAGCAGGTTTCTTTCTAGTGATTTCTGAGTTTAACTGTTAACACACAAACAAGAAAAAAAGAAGAAAAAACACATCAAAGAGCTTTTGACCAATTTAATAAATTGGCAACACAAAGATGACAATCGCCACACACCACAAGGGAAAGACCCAAAGAGACTTCAGGAGAAAAACGTTCCATACAAGCAAGACGACAAACATAGATAATTCTATTATGGAGAAAAAAACCTAACAATTCGCGAATAAAGACTGTATAGCAGTATTTAGGATCCACATGCAGGATAACACAGATTGAGATACTTTTCTTGGTCCTTGATTCTTATATAGACATTGGGCTACATTAGCTGGACTTATATAACCAGCCCAAATGATAAATTGTGTTCAGATAAGTCCCAACTCTATCCTAAAAATGATCTAGCATGGCGAGGAAAAAGTTTAAGCAAACTAGCATCTGGCTAAATGTACTTGAACAAAAACTACATACAAAGGTCCTCCTGTCTGGCTAAATGTACTTGAACGAAAACTACATACAAAGGTCCTCCTATAGCCAGCAGGTTTACTGATACACTCTACTCCTAGGGCTTGAACTACTGTAAATATGTGAATTCTTCCTCCAATTTTGTCAATTTCTAAATCATAAATCAAGACATTCTGAAGGGATGAAGCCTCATTCATACCAGCAGCAGATAAGCGGTTCACTTACTTAAAATGCAGTTTCCCAACCATCAACTTATCCTTCTTCCTCCTCAGAGTGTGGAGTCTTTTTTGAGTTCCCTTCAACAGGATGGGGAGATGAATCTGCATGATAAAGAACAAATTTATAAATTACTCAATGAATAAATGTATGAATTACCTACTCAAGAAAAGAAAAAATAAGTGCATATATTGCAAGTTTCAACGATACAGATTATCTTGACAGTAAACAACTTAAAATAAAACGATACACAGACTATCTTGATATCAGCTTTACTGCTATAGAATGAAGTAAAAGAATAGACACATTAAGAAACTTTTTCTCAGTACAATTTTATTGCTACTAAACATATTACTCATCATGCATTCCAAGCACTTAAAAGTTCCTCGAACATTAGTTTGAATATTAGTAAAAGAACTGAATATGAAAGAAACAAGGTTAACAATTAATATCAAGCAAGGCAATGGTGTTTGTCAAGTTTTTGACAGAGGTGAGATTAAAGATCAGGAGAACAAGTTCAAATACTAACACATATTTTTTGTTTTCCGCCAATAAGAATAACATATTTAGGAATGGTTTTTATTATTTGGGGTATCAACTGAACTTTCCCTTGAAATTCAAAGGGGCGAAAAATTACCAATAGGCTATAATGAAACCAATATCTCCTAGCTACCAAAGTTTTCACCAAGCAAACCTGCTTTCCGGGGTAAACTAGGATACCCCTATAGGCATGGCCCAGCCGACCGCCCAGCTATCAGCTTTCTCGATAAGGCCTAAAAAGAGGAGATCCCACAGGAAATCCTCCCGTCACACTCCCCCCGATGAAGGTCCTCCGCTGGAACCGTCAGGGCCTTGGCAGCCATGCCAAGCGCAACGCTGTTCGGGCTCCACCCATAACCCTGAGATTTTGGCTCTCTTTAAGACCAAGCCTATGGCCAGAACTTACTTCCTTGGCTCCCTCGATCGATCTCCCCTGGCTTCTTGGGGGTGATTTCAATGCTGTAAGATGGACTCACGAAAAGTCCAATGGCGGTCGTCAGACTGCCACCATGCGGGCCTTTTTGGAGTTCATCGAAAGCATTCCACTCATTGACATTCCCCTTTCCTGGGCCTCCTTTACTTAGTCCAACCATACGTCTAACCCTATCTTACCCCCTACACTCTTGTAATCTAAGCACCCAACTTGTGGGATACCTTCTATATTGCTTTGCTGTAAACAATACTTAATATATAAAGTTAACCTTTTCTCAAAAAAAAAAAAAGGTTTTCACCGAGCATTACCCTTATTCCTCGCCAAATTTTATTCCTTTTTTCTCAGAATTCCAAGAACTCGAAGTCTTTCAACTTCTAAACAATTAACCAAAAGAATCTTCATGAGTCACAGTTTACTGAATAATAAAATGCTCTGTTTATATGTTCCAACAATTTTCTCTTGAAGAGAGAAATTACCTAGCTTTAAGAAAAACTAAAATTTCCTCTTTTTTTTTGGTTTGTATGTCAGACCAATTTTTCCACAAAAGCAAAAAACTCAACAAATCTAACAAACATGAATACCAGTATAACACAATTGACATGCGAAAAGGATAGAAAAATAATGTTAGAAAAATAACAATAAAGCAATAAAAACTAAAACAAAAAACAAAAAACAAAAATCACAAATCACTACAAAATACCATACCTTCAATAAAGTAAGAAGAAGAAGGCCACCCTCTTGCTGTTGTAAAAGACATGGTTTCCTCCTCAGTCATGGGATTGGCCAATCTACCCACCAGTTCGACCACACTAAGCTGCTTCTTTCTCGGTGGGACCCAATATGAAGAACCAGGAAGAAAAGGCAGCCAAGAGGGAGCAGATCTCCTTACAATTATACCATGGATGGCATCTTCGAGCTTCTTAAACCCTAAAATCTCAACCTCCGCATCTCCTCCTTCCAAATCCACCTCGATCAACTGCGAGGATTCCAAACCCTCCTTCCTGGAGGAGTTGGAGCGAGGACGAAAGCACATGAGGCGAGAAGTAGGCGAGAGAGAAGAGGATTTGTAGAGAGAGGAGATCGATTCTCTGAAAAAAGGGCGAGCAAAGATCTTCGCCATTGTTTCTTGCAAAACAAGAGAAGAGAGGGAAACAAAATCCTCCCTTTCAGAGAGAGAGAGAGAGAGAGAGAGAGAGAGTTAGGGTCGAGGAGAGACGGACCCAAAAAGAATAAGTGCCTTAGAGAGAGACACGGCCAGCCCTAGAGAGAGAGAGAGAGAGAGAGAGAGGAGAGAAGGGGGAGGGAACCTGTTTAGATAGAGAAAACTTTTAGAGAGAGAAAGTGAGCTTAGAGAGAGAAGAAGGTACGCCCGTGGATCAGAAAAGGGCGAAGGGCGCTATTTATAGTTGTTGTTCTGCGCGCTTGGGATATAAATGGGTTCTACACGTGGCAGGTATGTAAGTGACAAAAATACCCTCATCCTAACTAAAAAGGACGGGGATGCCTACTTTTGTGTAATGACGTTATTGCCCCTGTTAAGCGGTGCGCGTGGCGTGCAGAAATGACAGTTTTCTGGTTAATATTGGGGATTGGGGTTCTACAAGAAGGATGCCTCAATAAAAGCAAATGACTAAAACTAACCATGGAACTTGCTGGAATAACCAAAAACTACGTCAGCCTTTTAATATTCAGTTTTCACTCCAGGTCAGCACTCATATATAATAATTTTTTTGAAAAACTTCTAAATAAATAAATAAATGCAGACCCGAACTATGGTGACCATCTGATGTACTATTATATTATCATGACCATCTGATGTATTTTGGAAATAATGAGTAAAATAATATAAAATTCATTCATAAATATTTTTTTGGAAAAAATTTATAAACGGCTGCAACCTTATCATATAGAATTACGGATGCGACCTCAAAAATCTATCGAAAAAAAGTAGTTTTAATGTTGAAAAACCCTTTGATTGGTCATCTCGACATCGAGATGTATAACCATGAAAAATAAAAAGATTTTAAGTCTTAGAAATAGTACATTTTACAGTATATTATCTACACCGTCCATTTCAAGATTTTCATATGTTTATAGATCTATTTGACTTTAACCATTT